TAATCCACAGTGCCACACCAGGTACAACAATTGACCTCTCACTTCAGAAGAAAGAAGAGTGATCAAAATCAAAGACTCATGGAATCAAGGAGTCCAGTGGACGAATGGACCACATGAACACAGACTCCAGCACCCTGAGACCAGAACTAGATGGTGCCCAGCTTCCACTCCCAGCTGTTCTGAAAGGAATCACATTAGATTCCCAGGTAGACTGGGAGAATAATGTGGTCCAAAACTCAAAATCATAAAAAAACAAAAACCAAATCAGAGTTACTAGTTGGATAGACTGGTGTAACACCCGAGACTACAGCCATTAGTACCCCTTCAGCTCTGGAACTGAACTCACCCCTATGGTTCAATTTTCAGTCAAACACTAGGCAGGGAACAAAGTCCTGGTGTGGCATGAAGGGTTAATGCGCTGGACTGCAAAGTCGGTTTGAATTGCAGGGTTGATAGTTCTAACTCACAAGTCACTCCTCGGAAAACCTCTACAGAGGGTCTCTATGGGTGGGAACCGACTCTGATGGCACGTAACAACAACAACAACAACAACAACAACAACAACGTAAGATGAACAATAACACTAGGGAGGTAGGCACACTTTAGAATAGTCAACCATTTGAGATCAAAAGGGCAGCATTTATCCAAGGTCAAAGTTCAAAAGGGTTAGGAACAAAGGAGGAATGAAAACAGTAAACCCAGGAGGAAGTGGGAATAAGTGATGTAACTCTGTAATCAATGAGATGAAGCAAAATGGGTTTGAATTATTAAATGTAAAACTAATAATCTGCTCTGTAAACTTTCACTCAACTCACAATTAGGCAAAAAAGGAAAGTACTTCTGAAAAAATCATCCATTGAAAACCCCACAGAGCAGTTCTACCCTGACACACATAGGTGGCTGTGAGTTGGAAGTAAGTGGTAACAATTGGTGGTTTTCTCACGCTCTATAAAAGGTGCTCTGGTAGCGTAGTGGTTACGAATTGGGCTGCTAATCTCAGGTCAGCAGTTTGAAACTACCAGCTATTCCGTGGAAGAAAGATGAGGCTTTCCGCTCCTGTAAAGATTTACAGCCTCGGAAACCCCGTACAGGGTCACTATGAGTTAGAACAGACTCCACAGCACATAACAACAACAAATAAGTATATATTTGTTCATGTGACAATTTGTTTAATGTTTTTCTCCTCCATTAGACTCCAATTCTCATATATGCAAAATCCACAGCACCTAGAACAGTATCTGACACAAAACAGGAGTTCCACTAATATTTAATAATAAAAATGGCATTCAATATTTAACAAGATTCTGGGGATCTCATTAAAATGTAGATTCTGATTAAGTATATCTGGGGCCTGGTGTGGGGGTGTGGGGGTGGAGGGGTTGTTACATGCCCTGGAGTCAGTCGGTTCTGACTTAACAATCCTACATAGGGTTTCAGTGACTGTAAATTTTTGCGGGAGCAGAAAGCCTCATCTTTCTCCCACAGAACAGCTGTTAGCTTTGAAAAGCTGACCTTGACACCAGCAACCCTTGTCTCAGCAGGAGGTCAAACTGGAATGAACCAGTTTGAAACCCCAGTTTGGAAGAAGGAGTGACCACTTGCAGCTGAAGAGGTTTGCAGGCAGCTGGGAGAGGTGGCATTTGGGCTGAGATCTGTGGGGCGGGTCCATCTGGCTCTGTGGCCGATGGCAGAATGCCTTCCAGACGTCAGAAAGCACGAGCAGAAGCAGAGAGACTGGGCATTCTGCAGCTCAGGGAGACGCAAGAGCAAGTCCTGCTCAGGTTGGCAGGAGAACAGAATATCTGGCCAGGACACGGAGCTGGAAAGAGAGGCTGGAGTGAGGCTGAAATGGCCTGGGGGTAGGATGCTCACATGCAATTTCAGCCTCCAGTCAAGGACGTTACCAGTAACATCAATGCAGTTATGTGCCTTGAACGGGGACATTGCCCTGACCACAGACAGGGACAGCCTTGGGAACTGAAAGAGAACCAGAAACAAGCCAGCAGGAACAGCTGCTCCGCCATAAAGGGCCCTCGAGCCAGAAGTCAGAGCCCTCTGTTCTGAAGCCATCCCAGCCCTAAGCAGCAAGCCAAGAGCCTGTTCCGACTCTGTGTCACCCCTTGCTGAAAACTGATGAGACAGGGACTGCCCTGGTCAGCCCTGAAGTCCTCCGGTGGATGATGACCCTGCTCCTCAGGGTATTTGTGTGCGACTGTTGAGAAGAGGGCAGAGGCTACAGGAGATGTGTGCTCTCTCTCTCTCTCTGCGTGTGTGTGTGTGTGTGTGTGTGTGTGTGTGTGTACACATGTCCATGCAGAGACCAAGGAGAAACTGACATGGTTAAGTCTGAGCTAAATGAGAAGGGAAGCGAACTCCTGGTATGCCAGGGACAAAACAGCACTCTCCAAGTGCATTTACCCAATGAGCCCTGGTGGCACTGTGCAAATCTAACCAAAAGGTCAGCAGTTCTAATCCACCAGCTGCTGAGCGGGAGAAGGATGTGGCAGTCTGCTCCCATAAAGACTGATTGCCTTGGAAACCCTACAGGGGCAGTTCTATTTGTCCTATAGAATCGATGTGCATGCATGGTAGTGGGTCAGTGGTGAAGTATTCCATTGCTAACTAAAGGTTGGTGGTTCACGCCCACCAGCCACTCCACAGGAGAAAGATTCAAGTCTCCTTCTCTAAAGATGATAGCCTTAAAAATCCTATCGTTGTTAAATGCTGTCGAGTTGGCTCCAACTCATAGTGACCCTCTAGAGGGTTTCTTTATAAGGAGCGGCTGGTGTGTTTGAACCGCTGATATTGCGGTTGAGTGCTTATCCTATGGTGCCACACCAGGATTCCTTGGAAACCCATGGGGCAATTTTACTCTGTCCTCCAAGGTTGCTTGAGTCCTGGTGTGGTGCTCCAGGTTAATGTGCTGGACTGCAAGGTTGGTTTGAGTGGCAAAGTTGGCAGTTCAAGCTCACCAGTTACTCCTGAGAAACCCTATTCAGAGGAGCTATGAGTGGGAACTGACTTGACAGGCACTTAACAACAACAACAACATGGTTTCTATAAGTCAGAAACAACTTGGTAATTCTCAACAACAACAGTGCAGCCACCAGGTAGAAGGTGTTTTCATTTTAATTCTTTTCATTCTAATGTAGAACTTTGAACTCAGCTGGTTCATTCCAGTTCAACACCCCCTGCTTAGAATTTGCCTTTCTACCCCAGGTACAGGATTGGAGGAAGACTCATTAACAACCTGCGATATGCAGATGATACAGCCTTGCTTGCTGAAAGTGAAGAGGACTTAAAATATTTACTGATGAAGATCAAAGAGCACAGCCTTCAGTATGGATTGCATCTCAATGTAAAGAAAACAAAATCATTGCCACTGGACCAATAAACAACATTCTTATCAATGGAGAAAAGATTGCAGTTATCAAGGACTTCATTCTTCTCGGATCAACTATCAACACTCATGGAAGCAGCAGTCAAGAAATCAAATGACATATTGCATTAGGCAAATCTGCTGCACAAGACATTTTTAAAGTGTTGAAGAGCAAAGATGTCAGCTTGAGGTGCGCCTGACCCAAGACATGGTATTTTCAATAACTTCATATGCATGTGAAAGTTGGGCTGCGAATAAGGCAGACCATAGAGGAATTGATGCTTTTGAGTTATGGTGTTGGAGGAGAATATTGAAAGTGCCATGGGCTGCCAAAAGAACCAACAGAGCCATGTTGGAAGTAGTGCAGCCAGAGTGTTCCTTGTTGGCGAGGATGGCCAAACATTATCTCTCACACTTCAGACATATAGTCAGGAGGGACCCACTCGCTGGAGAAGGAGTGGTTGGTAAGGTGGAGGGTCAGAGAAAAAAAGGAAGACCCCCAGAGAGATGGCTTGGCCAAGTAGCAGCATCAATGGGCTCAAGTGTGACAACAATTGTAAGGTTAGCCCAGGACTGGGCAGCGTTTAGTTCTGTTGTACATAGGATCCCGTCGAGTCAGTACTGACTCGACTCAATGGCACATAACAACAACAACCACCTCAGATACACTGAATCAGAATCTACATTTTAATGAAATCCCCAGGTAGTTCTTATATATACACAAGAATCAAGGGAGAAAGGGGGAGGGAATTGTGTTAAAATGTGGGTTCTGATTCAGTATATCTGGGGTAGAAAGGTAAATTCTCAGCACGGGATGTGGAACCGAACCGGAATGAGCGAATTTGAAGCCCTATTTTAATGCCTCCAGGTTATTTACTAAAATGTTGAAGGTTGGACCAAGTACCCTAGGGTACTAAGAACTCTCTTGCAAACTCTCCAGAGTCCTGATGTGGTGCTGCAGGATAATGCACTGGACCACAAGATCGGTTTGAGTCCAGAGGTCATCGGTTCAAACTCACCAGCCACTCCTTGGAAACCCTATACACGGTCGCTGATGAGTCACAATGGACTCAACGGCACATAGCAACAACGTCAAACTCTCCAGCACTCCATTGCTCACTGTGCAACCCAGGGAGACTCACCTGGAACTTGTTAGGAACCAACCTGGAGCCCCCCCTCCCCCCAAGACATGCTGCACCAGAACCTGCACTTCAAAAGGATGCATATTAGGGGTTTCAAGGTTGGGCTCTCAGTTCCCTGTGTTTCTGGAGCAGACTTGGTGAGGGCGTAAATCTGCTTCTCTGCTTGGCCAGCTTTCCAGAGCATCTTCACATAGCTTTGGTACAGGTGGGGGTGGGGGAAGAGTGATTGAGAACGTGTGTGTGTGTGTGTGTGTGTGTGTGTGTGTGTGTGTATTGTGTTCGTTGGTTAGGAGGGCAATCATATCTTTGTCCACAGGGAGGAAAGCTGAACAGGGCCAGAGATAGTGTTTCTAGTTCACATGCGCTGTCCTGTACACAAGCCTCCACTTCCCCCAACACCACCACCACCATTCACTGACCAGCCTCCTGGGCCCCTCCCATGGACCTCCCCACCACCCCAATGGTTATCCAGGACTCACTTGTCACTGATGAGCACATAAGGTTCCTCGCAGCGGATGGGGTCAATGCACTTGAAACCCCCTTGCAAATTGTAGCAAGTCTGGTGCAGGTTGCAGGTGTGGTTCCTGTGTTCACATTCATTGATGTCTGAAAGACAGGGATGAGGAGACACTGAGGCAAGCCAGCACTGCCCAGGCAATGGTCCTGGGCAGGATGGTGGGGTGCAAGGAGGGTGGGAACGAGAGCCTGGGTCTTACTACAGAGGTTTTGCTCTCTAATATGGTTGCCACTTTGGACTCTGGCATGGCATTGTAGGATCAGCACTGGACTGTGAATCACAAGGTTGACAGTTCAAGCCCACCAGCTGCTCCTTAAAACCCTATACAGAGTCCTTATGAATCGGAACTAACTTGACGGCACTTAACAAGTCTCAGGCAAGGAGCCCTGGTGGCACAGTGGGTTAAGTATTAGGCTATAGAAGGTCAGCAATTCGGCTGTTTGAACCAGGGTGTTCTAGGGAGGTTAGGGGGAAGGAGACGAGGCAGCCTGCTTTCATAAAAATTCGCAGCCTTATAAACCCTATGGGGAAGTTCTATCTTATAGGGTAGCTATGAGTCAATCAATTCAATGGCAGTGGTTTGTTTTTGGTTTTTTGTCACGCCTTATGTGGCTCCTGAGCACCTGGCATCTGGATAGTTCAAACTGAGATGTGCTATAAGTGTAAAATACACATCAGATTTCCACAAGGCTGAACAGAAAAAGAAAATATATATATAGATATACAATTTCATATAATTCATCAATTTTTATATTGATTTACATGCTGAAATGATATTCTGGATCTATTGCAGTAAATATCATTAACATTCATTTTACCTGTTTCTTTTTACCATTTTTTTAAACTTTCTCATTGTGATTTGAGTAAAAGTTAACAGAGCAAATTGGTTTTCCATTCAGCAATTCTTCACATTGCATTCCGTGACATCGATGACCATCTCATTTCCTCCTTGTGTTTCCTGTTTCCATTCCTCTTCCTTTCCTATCCCTTCCTGCCTTCTGAGCTTTGTTGTTGTTGTTAAGTGCTGTCGAGACAGTTCCGACCCACAATGACCCTGTATAGGGTTTTTGAGGAGTGGCTAGTGAGCATGAACGGCTGTCCCTGCAATTCAAACAGACCTTGCAGTCCAGTGCATTAACCCTCAGCACCACACCAGGGCTCCTGGGGTGAGCTTTGTTGTTGTTGTTGTGAAGTGCTATCGAGCTGGTTCCGACCCATAGTGACCCTGTATAGCTTTACTCCTGGGTAAATGCTCCCCTTTTGATCACATATGGTTGATTATCCTAAGGAATGTGTACCTATCTTGTGGTTTTTGTTGTTTTTTTAAATGAATTATTTTTCTTTTTATTTTAATGTGGTTTCTAGAAATTTTCAAGTTCCACTTGGGGCTCCCTCTGGTAACTTGCAATGCATCTCCATGTAAGCATGGCAAGCAGTTGCTTGCTGTTGGTATGAGGTAAACTCAAGGAGGCTGAGCATTGGTGAGCCACTCAGCCACCAGCCTCCCCCACTGACCCCAGGGGGTGGATGGAGGCTGGACATCTGGCCAAGCAGCCTATCTGGAGCACGGAGCCCTGGTCCTTGGAGGGAAACAGTATCAGAGATGAGAGGTCTCTCTGGCCCCATCCTCTAGGAAGTCAGCCAAGAAGAGATGACCAAACTAAATGTCCATCAGCAGATGAATGGGTAAACCAAATGGGCAACATACGTAAGGAGCCCCTAGTGGCACAGCAGCTAAGTGCTCAGCTGCTAACAGAAAGGTCAGCAATTCAAACCCACCAGCTGCTCCAAGGTAGAAAGATGTGGCAATCTGCTCCCTTCAAGATTGGTTTGGGTTATTGTTGTTGCTGTTGCTAAGTGCCGTCGAGTTGATTCCGACTCAGAGCGACCCTGATTAGGATTTCCGAGGAGCAGCTGGTGATTTTAAATAGCCAACCTTGTGGTTCACAGTCCAATGCTGATCCTATGGTGCCACACCAGAAGTCCATTGTGGTTAGCTGCTATGGAGTCAGTTTTGACTCATAGCGAAACAGACTCTGCACAACAGGACAAAACACTGCCTGGTCCTGTGTCATCCTCACAATTGTTAGTCTTGAGTCCATTGCTGCTGCCACTGAGTCAATCCATCCTTAAGTATCTTCCTCTTTTTTCTTGGCCCTCTACTTTACCAACCATGATGCTTTTCTCCATGGACTGGCCCCTCCTGATAACGTGTCAAAAGTATCAAAGATGAAATCTCACCATATCTTTTAAGGATCATTCTGGCTGCACTTCTTCCAGCACAGATTTGTTTGTTGTTCTGGTAGTTCATTGTACTTTCAATATTTGTCTCCAACACCATAATTCAAATTCACTGATTCTTCTACAGTCTTCCTTATTCATTGTCCAACTTTCACATGCATGTGAGGTGACTGAAAATACCATGGCTTGGGTCACCCTCAAACTGATGTCTTTGCTCTTGAACACTTTAAAGAGATTCTGTGCAAATGTGCCTAATACCATATGTGGTTTGATTTCTTGACTGCTGCTTCCATGAGTGTTGATAGTGGATCCAAGCAAAATGAAGGCTTTGACAACTTCAATCTTTTCTCCAGTTGTCATCATGGTATTTATTGGTCCAGTTGTGAGGATTTTTATTTTCATTACATTGACATGCAATCCATATGGAAAGCTATTGTCTTTCCTCTTAATAAATATTTTAAGTCCTCTTCGCTTCCAGCAAGCAAGGTTCTATCCTATGTATATCACAGGTTGTTAATGAGTCTTCCTCCAATCCTGATGACATGTTCTTCATATAATCCAGCTTCTCAGATTATTTCTTCAGTATTGCATTGATTGAATTGAGTAAGTATGGTGAAAGGATACAACCTTGGCACATACTTTTCCTGATCTTAAACCATTCAGCATCCCCTTGTTCTGTTCAAACTTCCTCTTGCCCTGTGTATAGCTTCTTCATGAGCATATTTAAGTGTTCTGGAATACCTATTCTTCAAAACATTATCTATAGTTTTTCAAGATCCACACATACTCAATGGCATACTCAATGAAGCACAAGTAAATATCTTTCTGGGACTCTCTGCTTTTAGCGAAGAGCCATCTGACTTCAGCAATACCCACTTCTGAATTCAGTTTGAATTCTGGCAGTTCCGTTTTGAGTGTATTGTTACAATCATTTCTTACTTATCTTCTGCAACATTTTACTTGTATGTGGTATTAAAGATATTGTTTGGTGATTACTGCATTCTGTTGGGTTACCTCCCTTTGCAAGGGGCACAAATAGGACTTTTTCCAATCAGTTGGCCAGGGAGCTCTCTTCCAAATTTCTTGGCATAGACGAGTGCTTACAGTCCTGCATCCATATGTTCAAAGATTTCAATTTGTAATCCGTCAACTCCGGGAGCCTTGTTTTTCACTAATGCCTTCAGTGTAGTTTGGACTTCTTCCTTCAGTACCATTGGCTCTTAATCATATGCTACCACTTGAA